CTGCACAGGAGTTGGAGGAAAGATTGTCTTGTGTGATGGCAGAGTGTGTGGCACTGCATGCAGAGAAGGAACAGTATGGTAAAAATTTGGAAGAGTTGGATACTCAACATCAAGCAGCAATTGGTGAGTTTATTTAGCATTAGACAAGGAAGGATGTGTGATGTCACCGTGGTTGTTTAATATATTTATAGATGGGGTTGTAAGAGAAGTAAATGCGAGGGTCTTGGCAAGAGGCGTGGAGTTAAAAGATAAAGAATCACACACAAAGTGGGAGTTGTCACAGCTGCTCTTTGCTGATGACACTGTGCTCTTGGGAGATTCTGAAGAGAAGTTGCAGAGATTGGTGGATGAATTTGGTAGGGTGTGCAAAAGAAGAAAATTAAAGGTGAATACAGGAAAGAGTAAGGTTATGAGGATAACAAAAAGATTAGGTGATGAAAGATTGGATATCAGATTGGAGGGAGAGAGTATGGAGGAGGTGAATGTATTCAGATATTTGGGAGTGGACGTGTCAGCGGATGGGTCTATGAAAGATGAGGTGAATCATAGAATTGATGAGGGAAAAAGAGTGAGTGGTGCGCTTAGGAGTCTGTGGAGACAAAGAACTTTGTCCTTGGAGGAAGAGGGAATGTATGAGAGTATAATTTTCCCAACGCTCTTAAGGGTTTTTAAAAGGTGGGTGATGAATTTTGCGGGAGGAAAAGGGCTGGAGGCAGGGGAGATGTCATGTCTGAGGGCAATGTGGGTGTGAAATAATGCAGAGAATTCGTATTTTGGAAGTTAGGGAGGTGGGGGGATTAAAAAAACTGTTGTCCGAGGGTGGGGGAAAGGGTTGTTGAGGTGGTTGGGGACTGTAAGAGAAGGGAGCGAAACAGAATGCTTAAAAGAGGTATCGTCTGTAGGGGAAAGGAAAGGGGGGGTAGGGGTCGGCCTGGGAAAGGTTGGGGGGAGGGGGTAAAGGAGGTTTTTTGGGGGGGGGCTTGGGACTTCCAGCAGGCAGCGGAGCGTGTTTGAAGGAGTGAATGGAGACAAATGTTTTTAATACTTGGTGCTGTTGGAGTGTGACAAAGTACTTTATAAAGGGGTCAGGGAAACCCGGGCGGGCCCGGACGGGGTCCTGGAGAGGGGAAGTACAGTCCCTGCATCTAAAGGAGGGGTGTTAATGTTGCAGTTTAAAAACTGTGTGTAAAGCCCCCTTCGGCAAGACAGTGAGGAGTAAAATGTTGGTGAAAGGGGGCCACCCGCTTGGTGGGAATCGGCCAGGGGTGATAAAAAAAAAAATAATAAAAAAATTAGCTTTACTGAAGTTGTTTTATTGTAATTTCAATACGTCCCAGTAAGGGCGGTCCCCAGATTTTTCAAATTTATTTAATTCCAGAAAACGTTTCAAGTGCTGATCTGGACGAATTTTTCCCCTAAGAAATAATGTAAATTTTATTTGTTCGTTTTTTACCCCCAAGAATACAAAACAAAACACTTAAATAATAAACTTACATAATTGTTCGAGTTGGGAGCGGTTTGAAACTTGGGGTGCCATATAGTACTTGTAAACATTACCTAAAAAATTTTTAACTATTTTTTTTTTTTTTTTTCACACCGGCCCATTCCCCCCAAAGGGGGTGGCCCCAAAAAAAAAAAACTTTCACCATCATTCACTCCTCATGTCTTGCCAGAAGGGTGCTTTTCACTACTTTTTTAAAATGAACTTAAAAAACCCCCTTTTTAAGTGAGGCACGTACTTCCCATTCAGGGCTCAAGTCCGGCCCCGCCGGTTTCCCGAACCCTTCATAAATTTACTTGCTCCACCAACGACGCAAGTATTAAAACCTTTGTCCCTTTCCCCCTATCCAAACACCCCACCATCCCTGGGAACCCCAAACCCCTCCCAACAAAAAATCCTTACCCCCTCCCTCCAAACCCTTCCTAGGCCGACCCCTACCCCCCCTTCCTTCCATACAGACTGAAATCTTGAAGTCATTCTGTTTCGCTCCTTTTTCTCTACATGTCCGAAAACCCCTAACAACCCCCTTCCCCAGCCCTCTGGACAACGTTTGGTAATCCCGCACCTCCTCCAACTCCAAACTACGAATTTTTCTGCATTTTTCCACCCCACATTGCCCTCAGACATGACATCTCCACTGCCTCCAGCCCCTCCTCGCTGAAAAATTCATCACCACGCTTTCACCCATATAAGGGTTGGTAAAACTATATCTATCATTCCCCTCTTTTCCTCCAAGGCAAAGTTTTTGTCTCCACGTCCCAATGCACCCTCACTCTTTTCCCTCATCAATTTTAGATTACCTCATTTTATAGCCCAAACCCCTGACACGTCCACTTCCAAATATCTGAATCATTTACCTCCTCCATACTCTCTCCCTCCATCGATATTCAAACTTTAACCCAATCTTTTTGTTTCCTCATAAACCTTACTCTTTCCGATTACCCTTTTAATTTTTTTTCTTTTTCACCCCCCTACCAAATCTCCCCCAATCTTGAACTTCCTTAAATTCCCCAAGAGCACATGTACAGCAAAGAGCAGCTGTGGGCAACCCCTTTTGTGTGATTCTTTGTTTTTAATCCCCGCCCCTTTTCCGACCCCGCATTTACTTCTCTTACAACCCCTATAAAAATTTTAAAAAAACCCGGTGAATCACACATCCTTGTCTAAGGCCTACCTTTCTGGAAAAAATTTCCTTTTTTCCTACATACTCTAACTTGAGCCTACTATCCTCGTAAAAACTCTTCACTGCTTTCAGAAAACCTACCTCCTACACCTTACACTGCAACATCTGCCACATTGCCCCCTATCCACCCTGTCATATCCCTTTTTCCAAATCCATAAATGCCACAAAGACCTCTTTACCCTTATCTAAATACTGTTCACTTTTTATGTTTCACTGTAAACACCTGGTCCACACCCCCCCTACCTTTTCCCTAAAGCCTCCTTGTTCATCTGCTATCCTATTCCCCGTCTTACTCTAATTTTTCAATTATAACTCTACCATACACTTTACCAGGAAACACTCAACAGACTTATCCCCCTATAATTTTTGCACTCTCTTTTACCCTTTGCCTTTATACAAAGGAACTATGCATGCTCTCTGCCAATCCCTAGGTACCTTACCTCTTCATACATTTATTAAATAATTGCCCCAAAACCACCCCAAAAAACTATATCCCCCCCTGCTTTTACATTTCTATCTTTATCCCATCAATCCCGGCTGCCTTAACCCCCTTTCATTTTGCCTACTGCCTCACGAACTTCCCCACACTCACAAGGGCTCTTCCTCACTCCTACAAGATGTTATTCCTCCTTGCCCTATACACGAAATCACAGCTTCCCTATCTTCATCAACATTTAACAATTCCTAAAAAATATTCCTTCCATCTTCCAATACCTCTAACTCTCCATTTAATAACTCTCCTCTCCTTTTTTTAACTGACAAATCCATTTGTTCTCTAGGCTTTCTTAACTTGTTAATCTCACTCCAAAAAATTTTTCTTATTTTCAACAAAATTTTGTTGATAACATCTCACCCACTCTCTCATTTGCCTCTTTTTACATTGCTTCACCAAATCTCTTAACTTCTCTCTTTTTCTCCATATACTCTTCCCTCCTTGCATCACTTCTACTTTGTAAAAACTTCTCATATGCTAACTTTTTTCTCCCTACACTCTCTTTACATCATCATTCCACCAATCGCTCCTCTTCCTCCTGCACCCACTTTCCTGTAACCACAAACTTCTGCTGAACACTCTAACACTACATTTTAAACCAAACCCATCCCCTTTTCGACCCCATTGCCTATGCTCTCATTAGCCCATCTATCCCCAATAGCTGTTTATATCTTACCCTAACTGCCTCCTCTTTTAGTTTATAAACCTTCACCTCTCTCTTCCCTGATGCTTCTATTCTCCTTGTATCCCATCTACCTTTTACTCTCAGTGTAGCTACAACTAAAAAAGTGATCTGATATATCTGTGGCCCCTCTATAAACATGTACATCCTGAAGTCTATTTCAACAGTCTTTTATCTACCAATACATAATCCAACAAACTACTGTCATTTCGCCCTACATCATATCGTGTATACTTATTTATCCTCTTTTTTTTAAAAATATGTATTACCTATAACTAAAACCCCTTTCTATACAAAGTTAATCAAAGGGCTCCCATTATCATTTACACCGGGCACCCCAAACTTACCTACCACACCCTCTCTAAAAGTTTCTCCTACTTTAGCATTCAAGTCCCCTCCCCACAATTACTCTCTCACTTGGTTCAAGGCTCACTATACATTCACTTAACACTCTCCCAAAATCTCTCTCTCTCCTCTGCATTCCTCTCTTCTCCAGGTGCATACACGCTTATTAGACCCACTTCTCGCATCCAACCTTGACTTTAATCCACATAATTCTTGAATTTACACATTCATATTCTCTTTTCTCCTTCCAAACTGATCATTTAACATACTGCAACCCCTTCCTTTGCTCTAACTCTCTCAGATACTCCAGATTAATCCCTTTTAAATCCCCCCACTAAAAACTCTCCTACCCCCTTCAGCTTTGTTTCGCTTAGGGCCAGGACATCCAACTTCTTTCATTCATAACTCAGCAATCATCTGTTTCTTGTCATCCGCACTACACCCACGCACATTTAAGCAACCCAGTTTTATAAAGTTTTTTTTCTTCTCTTTTTAGTAATTGTATACGGGAGAAGGGGTTACTAGCCCATTGCTCCCGGCATTTTAGTCGCCTCATACGACACGCATGGCTTACGGAGGAAAGATTCTTTTCCACTTCCCCATGGACAATAGAAGAAATAAAAAAGAAAAAGAGCTATTAGAAAAAGGAGAAAAACCTAGATGTATGTATATATATATATATTATGTATATGTAATATATATATATATATATATATATATAATATATATATATATGTATATTAAAATTAACTATATATACAGTAAAAGGTGACTAAAATGCTAGGAGCAAGAAGCTAGTTTGTGTAATATCACAACTTCAGATCTGCAATAAATATTTCTTAAGTATAAAATATACAACTTTTAAGTAACTTTTCATGTTTCATAAAAATAAGTGAAGTATATTTATTTACTATCATCTTCTTTACCACATTGGCCATCTCTTATGATGGCAAGGAGACCCATAAAAACTGCATTTACCATCATTCATTCGGTACAGTGGACACTCGGTTATCGGCCATTCCGCTTATCAGCCAGCTCGGATATCGGCCGTGTTTTCGGCTTCCGGTTATCGGACGTTATTTTATGGGACACGTCAACCCACCTGCCTGCCAGCCACTCGCGTGTGTGAGTCAGTCTGGCTGTGTCTCTGGGCGAGTGAGGACACTTCTGCTCATTCGTCCAAACATCAAGGAAGCTGATGTTGCAAAAGGGAGCTTAGCAGGGAGGCAGGGAGTGTAGCAGGGAGACAGGACCCCAATGGAAATAAGTCACTCTGTCTGACTTTTTTGGATTATCCTAGGTTATTTACACACATGCTGTGGAAGGGAGGCAGGGAGTGTAGCAGAAAATTAGGGAGTGTGAAAGGGAGGAAGGGAGTGTAGCAGGGAAACAGGGCATGTGGAAGGGAGGCAGGGAGTATAGCAGGGAAACAGGTAGTGTGGAAGGGAGGTAGGGAGTGTAGCAGGCAGGCAGGGAGTGTAGCATAGAGGGAGGGAGTGTACCAGGGAGTGTAGCAGGCAGGCAGGGAGTGCAGCAGGCAGGCAGGGAGTGCAGCATAGAGGGAGGGAGTGTAGGAGGAAGGCAGGGAGTGTAGCAGGCAGGGCAGGAAGTAGCCCCAGAGAGGGCTTTGATACCTGAAGTCCTTATGGAGGGGGATTCCCCTTCCAAACAATAATCAGTCCTCCCTCTCTCTCCTCCTCCCTGTCTTCCATAAGTCAACAAGTCTACATAAAGGTATGTAATAGTGATTTAAATTTTCATTTATTTTATTTAGTTCTCATTGTTTTGTGTATGTAAAACTATAATTAATCTTTAAAAATGTATTTTTGTTAATATTTTTGGGTGTCTGGAATGGATTAATTGTATTTACATTAATTCTTATGGAAAATATTATTTTGGCTTTAGGCCATTTTGGTTTTTGGCCAACCTTCTGGAACGGATTATGGTCGATAACCGAGGGTCCACTGTAGTTGTCTTGCCAGAGGTGTGCAGACATCACAATTCAAAGTGGAGGCACTGTACTTCCCATTTCCAAGATTCATGTCTGGTTAACTGGTTTCCCTGAATACCTTCATAAATGTTAGTTTCCTCACACTCCAACACCCCATCAAACCCAATAACCACTTGTCTCCATTGATCTAACACACTCATGCCTGCTGGATGCTCAGCCATTTCTATTCAAAACATTTTTTTATGCACTCTCTCCATTTCTCTCTGGGATGACCCTTGCACTACCTTCCTTCCACCCCATACACCCTCTTTACCATTCTATTGTGCTCTATCCTTTCTAAATGGACAGATCACCTTAATAACCCCTCCTCCATTTTTTAATTATTCTCTTTGTAACCCCACATGATCTTCTGATTTCCATGCTCATAATTCTCTGCATAATATTCACACCACATTGCTCTCAAACAGCAGTTTCCACTGTCTCCAACCTACTCCTTTCTGCAACATTTAAAGACCTTCCTTTACAATGTTAGTACCACTATACTCTGGTACATTCTCTTTTATACCCCCTTAGATAAATTTTCTTTCTGCAAACAATTAAGTACACCATTTACCTTCCTCTTTTCCCTTATCTATTCTGTGGTTCATCTCATTTTTCACTGACCAATCTGCTGATATGTCCACTCCCAAACATCAAAATATATTCACTTTTTCTATATAGTCTCTCCTTCCAATTTGATATCTTGCCATTACTGTATATTTAAACATGGCATTTTTAGGTATTTTAGGATGTATTTGAAATTTTAGGCTCAGCTTCTCAGGATTATAGAATTGTGTTGAATTTCAGAACAAGTATTGAAGAAGAAAAACCAGGCTAATGAGGAGGCACAGGTGATGAAGGCAGCCCATGAGCAAGTAACTCAACTAGTGGCAGAGCTACAGGCAGACAAGGCCAGACAGTATGAGGAGATGCAACAGATGCAGGCTGAACTGTTACTCTTTAAGGAAAAAGAGGAAGCTTCCTTTTCTGCTTTCAAAATAGAGCTTGAATCATTAACTCGAGAGAAAGACGAAGTGAAAGCCAGTCTTGATGAAAAGTCTACCTCACTGTCACGTCTTGAAGAAGAGATTCAACGCATGTCTAAAGAGAAGCAGCAGTTGCTCTTAGAAAAAACTAAACTTGAGGATGAATTTAGCATTGTTAGAAAAAAGATTAAATTAGAAAATGACCAAGATAAGCAAAATTCTAAGATCCAGGATGAATTGAGGCATTTACAGAAAAAACATGAGGAGGAACAAAACACTACCATACAGCTCAAAGTTACTCTAGAGAAAATGGAGGGTGAACTTCAGCAGTTGAGATCATCAGAGGCTAATCTGATGGAGTTATGTAAAGTCTCTGAGGAGAAGAGAACTATAGCTGAAGCAGAAACTACAAGTCTTCATAAACAGCTTGAAAATCTTACTGAAGAAATGTTAAAACTCAGCAAAACTGCAGCACACAACGAAGTCATTCATGATGCCAACAAGGAAGAGGAGAAGAAACTTGAAGAAAAGCTTGTAGGATTAGAAACTGTAAAGAATAACTTAGAACAAGAATTACAGAACAAATCTCAGGCTTTTGAAGATGCTCTAACTGGAACAGAGATGCTGGAATCTGAGCTACAAGCTAAAGTCCAAGAAATTACAATGTCCAATACAAGAATAGCTGAACTTGAAGATAAAATAAAGCACATAGAGAATGATCTGTATATTCTTAAAAAATCACGAAAGGAAGAGATGGATGAAGTAAAGAAGTCTCTGGTCCACGACACTCAGGAGGTAAGCAAACTCAGTTTTGTTGACGAAGAGAATGATACATGTTAACTCTTTTATGACTCTCTTGACATGGTTCAGATCCCATCCATTGCATGCTTTTTTAACTTTTTTATTTACAAATACTTTGGAGCTTACTTTTTTGTGTGTTTGTGTGCTCTTCACTCTTTGTGATATATACTGTATAAAATACTGTATTATATGCAAAAGTATCATTTATGTTAGGCAGGGATATACTCTGAGATGACTGTAGTTTAAGTTGTATATGTACTCAGATTTGCATATTCAATGAGACATCACTTAGTGCAATTGCATGTACACTTAAGAGAATGGGTTCTTTATTAATGAACAAAAAATCAGAAAATAATTATGGAAATGTGAGATTTTGTGCAGAGAAAATGCTTTGAATAAAATTCATAGAAGTGTTGAACAGGAAGCTTAGTACAGTGGACCCTCGCCTAACGATGGCATCGCCTAACGTTAAATTCGGCTAACGATACATTTAACGCTAACATTTTGCCTCGGCTAACGCTAAAAAACTCGCCTAACGTTATTTGGTCTCGGGTACCAATTAATATCGTTAGGCGAGGGTCCACTGTACAATATTAAGATAAAAAGTCTAGTTCGTAAAGATATTTCTAATGCATATTTTGCAAATATAAATTTATCATAGTAAATGAAGTAATTTGCATGTAGTAGTAGTAGTAGTAGTATTGAGAAGTGAGTATTACAGATATAAATAAAGATAGAACAACAAAGTGCATGTCAGCTTCAAATTTGGATGAGACGGTTAGAGAAAGAAAATGTACTGTTGAACTGAGTAAGTGTTATGAACTCTCATGATTCACGAATTTGCCATTTTTTCGCAACTGAAGTAGATTAACTTTAGCACAATTTTAAATAACTCGGTAATTTGAAATTAAAACTTGCTAGTGTATACCTGTATTTTTTTTTTTTAACATGTTGGTTGTCTCCAACCAAGACAGGGTGACCCAAAAAGAAAGAAAATCCCCAAAAAGAAAAATACTGTTATCATCATCATTCAACACTTTCACCTCACTCATACATAATCACTGTCTTTGCAGAGGTGCTCAGATACAACAGTTTAGAAGTCCCTTCAAACTGCCAGTATCCCAAACCTCTCCTTTAAAGTGCAGCCATTGTATTTCCCATTTCCAGGACTCAAGTCTAACTAACCAGTTTCCCTGAATCCCTTCACAAAGTATTACCTTGCTCACACTCCAACAGCTCGTCAGGTCCCAAAAACCATTTGTCTCCATTCACTCCTATCTAACACGCTCACACATGCTTGCTGGAAGTCCAAGCCCTCGCCCACAAACCCTCCTTTATCCCCTCCCTCCAACCTTTTCGAGGATGATCCCTACCCCGGCTTCCTTTCCCTATATGTTCTCCAAGTCATTCTACTTTGATCCATTCTCTCTAAATGATCAAACCACCTCAACAACACCTCTTCAGCCCTCTGACTAATACTTTTAGTAACTCCACACCTCCTCCTAATTTCCACTCTCAGAATTCTTTGCATAATATTTACACCACACATTGCCCTTGGACAGGACATCTTCACTAGTTCCAGCCATCTCCTCGCTGCAGCATTTGCAACCCTACCTCCATACCCATATAAGAGTGTTGGTACCACTATACTTTCGTACATTCCCTTCTTTGGCTCCATGGATAACATTTTTTGTCTCCACAGGTATCTCAATGCACCACTCACCTTTTTTCCTTCATTAGTTCTATGGTTAACCTCATCCTTCATAAACCCATCCACTGACAAGTCAACTCCCAAATATCTGAAAACATTCACTTCTTCCATACTCCCTCTCTCCAATGTGATATCCAAATTTTCTTTATCTAAATCATTTGATACCCTCATCACTTTACTCATATCTATGTTCACTTTCAACCTTTACACACCCTCCCAAACTTGTCCACTAACCTTTGCAACTTTTCTTTAGAATCCCCCACAAGCATAATTTAATTCCACCCTTCTCCCCAACACCCTAGCATTTACTTCTTTTACAGTCCCATCTATAACTATATTAAACAACCATGATGACATTACACATCCCTGTCTAAGACCTACTTTTACCAGGAAGTAATCTTCCTCTCTCCCACACACCCTAACCTGAGCCTCACTATCCTCATAAAAACTCTTTACAGCATTTAGTAACTTACTACCTATTCCATATACTTGCAACATCTGCCACATTGCTCCCCTATCCACTCTATCATATGCCTTTTCTAAATCCATAAATGCAATGAAAACTTCCCTACCTTTATCTAAATACTGTTCACATATATGCTTCACTATAAACACTTGATCTACACATCCCCTACCCACTCTAAAGCTTCCTTGCTCATCTGCAATCCTTCTCTGTCTTGTCTCTAATTCTTTCAATAATAACTCTACCGTACCCTTTACCTGGTATACTCAGTAAACTTCTTCCCCTATAATTTCTACAATCTCTTTTTTCCCCCTTCCCTTTATATGAAGGAACTATACATGCTCTCTGCCAATCCCTAGGTGCCTTCCCCTCTTTCGTGTATTCAACAAAAATACCAACCCCTCCAACACTATATCCCTCCCTGCTTTTAACATTTCTGTCATGATCCCATCAGTTCCAGCTGCTTTACCCCCTTTCATTCTACGTAATGCTTCACACACCTCCCAACACTCACGTCCTGCTTTTCTTCACTCCTAAAAGATGTTATACCTCTCTGGCCAGTGCATGAAATTACCGCCTCCCTTTCTTCATCGACATTTAAAAGTTCCTCAGATTTCACTTCCACCTCTAGTACAAACTGTAGGGAACTCATAGTCTCGGAGAAGTAGATGAAAAAGGCTGCAAGGAGAAATATCTGGATTTCTCCCCGAGGCTATTGTTTCATCTAGTATTTAGTATTGTACAGTAATTAATTTTGTTCAGGTGCCCAAGAATGTGAAAGGTGGTATCCATAGACTTGCAGAACTTCTTCGTGAATCTGTGTGGCAGAGAGATACTCTAGAGCGACATGTTTCCACAATCACCCAGGAGCTCAGAGAGAAGAATGAACAGCTTAATGAAGCAGAAGCAAATCGGGTATGTCCTTATCTGTCCTTACTATCCTCTTGGCAGTATGTAAGTGTGCTTCTCTTATTTTATTAATATTCTGTAAATTGGCTCACCATTAACTGATCATCTAAATTAATTGGGAGAATGTTTATTTTCTCCATCTCAATTAGTCTGTGTTCATAATGAGAATTTCAATATGCAATACTTTCAGTTGGCACAACAGTTGGGGCATCTGCTAACATTATCTGCAATGTTAAATTTTAGTTCCATCCATTCTTTGAAAAAAAGAAAAAAAAAGAAATTGTATTGTTGAACAGTTATTGGGTGCTTAACTTTTTGACTGTCGCGAGCACCTTTCTAATGATAGAGAATCTTTTTCCAATGGTAATGACACCAAAAGTATGAAATTTGGTCAAAAACTCACAGAATTACACTCCCGCGAATTTAGCGGTCTCAGAGACATATACACATCGGCAATTTTGCTGACTTTGAGCCCTAATTTTGGCCAATTCCGTTGTTCCAGTTGATCAAACTCATAGCTATTTCTTTAGAACTATTTTTTCTATCAGTTGAGCACAAGAAACCGCCCATTTACCGATTTGAACTACCCAATAAAGTGGTCAGAAATTGGCAATTTGACCAATTTCATGCAAATTAAAAAAGATGCCAATTTCAAAATAGGGTCCAGAATAAACAATGTAGACATTCTTGGCACTAAAACAACATATCCTCTGTTCATTAGTCACGTCTCTAGGGCCCTCTTATATTACTATTGCTTTCTATTTTGATTTTTTATTCATACAAAAAATACAAAATTTGCTGTTAATGCAGACTACTGCATTATTGTAAAAATGGTATAAATAATATCAGTGCACTAGTGAAAAAATATTAGACTCCCCGGTTGACATGTATTGGACGTGTGGTGTGATTTGCTTACTCCTGAACATTGGTAAAAATCGAACATTTCCGCTACTTTGAGCTCAAGTTCAAGGTTATTTTCATCGTGAAACTAATCAAAATCATCTCTATTTCTGTAATATGTTTTCCATTTTATCACGTGAGACCATGAAAATGAGAATACAACGATAAATACTATACGAAAATACACTTCAAAATCGACGTTTTAATCCAAAAAAAAAAGGTCAGTTTTTTTTTTCTCATTATGCACTGCGTGCTGCAGGATTTTTTTTATGTGGTGCGCACTGACCACAGACCCATTCTCTCACATGTGGGCCTACCAGCTTTCTCCTTGATTTGAAGCCGCTAGAATTTATGCGTATTAATAGGTCCGAAACACTGGCTCGTAAGACGTATATATACGACCAAAACAGTCAAAGGGTTAAGAGTGCAGTATGAGTTTAACAGTGTATCTTGAAAGGAGGGACTAAAGCTCTCATTATATGATAAACATGTTTTTTATCACAGAATGATCTTGAGAGAGAATGTGAAGATCTTAGAGACCAACTTGAAGAGATACAAAAGGGAGTGCGGCCTCCACCTGAAGGTAGCAGTAGAGGACTCCCTACCATTGAAGAGGAGAGTGAAGGAGGTGCAGAGGGAGATGCTGATGGTGAACAGGTAGAGGAAAGTCAGGAGGTGAAGGTACTTGAACACTGTGAGTCCTCAGAACGTGAGAGATCGAGTGAGATTGAAGCGTTGCAGGCACAAGTAGAAGCATTGTCAGAAGCCAGAAGAAATTTAGAAACAGAAGTAGCCAACATAAGAGCTGAGCGTGAAACCCTGCAGGGGCAACTTAGAGAAGCAGAGGGACGCACTGGAAACTTGGTTAATTTAGAAACAGAAGCAGCAACTTTGAGAACTGAGAAGAAAACTTTAGAGACGAGGCTGGCATCATTAATGCAACAGTTGGACCTGGAAACTGTCACTCTTCAGGATGAACGTGACACATTCAAGGAACAAGCAGATGCAGTGCATGAACAACTCAAGTGTTTACAAGCAGAGATGGCTCTCTTGCAGCATGAAAGAGGATCGATTGGTCAGCAGTTGCTCAATCAGTATCAGATTGTAGAAGACAGAGATGCCACAATCAGAGGCCTTGAAAATGAGTTGCATGATCTAAAATACAAAATAAGTGAGAATTTTGGGGCTGCTAATTCTGCAACAGACGCACTAGCCCACTGCCAAGAAAAAACAACTAAATTACAGGAAGAACTGGACTGTATTAAATCACAACTTATATTCAAGGAGGACAAGATTGATGTATTATCACAAGTGTTGGAGGATGTTGGTCAGATTTTTCAGGTAGATTTGAAAGATGTTGATAGAATAAACAAACAAATACAAGATAAATACACATCACTGGAAAATGCTTTGAAAGAAAAGGAGAAGAAAATAGAGGACTTGTCAAAAACAAAGGATGATTTACTAGGTGAATTAAATTTGTTCAAGAAACAAAACTCAGAATTTGAAACTGAAAGTATAACAAGAATAGCAGAAAAAGAAAAGGAATTAAATTCTTTGAGGGAACAACTAGACAAAAATGAGATGGAGGTTTTCCAGTTACAAGAAAAAATAGCAGAGTTTTCAAGAGAAATTAACAGGAAAGATCAAAATATTGTTTCGCTACAAGAAGAGTTGAATAGTGTCAAGCTGGAAAAGAAGGATGCCTTTTTAAATCTAAGCCAGAGGGTAGAGGAACTGACCAGAGTTAATGAGGCAAATGGGCAGTTGATAAGCTCTCTTGCCCATGAAAAGGAGTTGGTTTTAAATTTGCAGTCCGAAAATGATCAGCTGAAGATGAGTCAAGAGCAACAAGTGTCAGAACAAAGCAACATGACAGTGATCTTAAATTCAAAGGATAAAGAGATAAAAGATAATGAGGCAAAAATTTCTTTGCTTGTGAATCAAATTGATGAGCTTGAGAGAGAGAAAACTGAACTGATAGCTTTAGAAAGAGAAACTAGTAATTTAGCAAGTGACAATGAAGATTTAAGCAAAAGAGAACAAGCACTGCGCGATGAGAACGTAAAGATGTCACAGGAAAGATTATCTTTGCTTCAAGACAGAGAAAAGTTAAGCCAGGAGGTACAAGAGCTGGAGTTAGGAAAGAACACTGCCCTTCAACAACTCAGCAGCCTTCAGGCAGAAAGAGACCAAATGATTGCAGCAATCACACAAAAGCACCAAGAAAGTGTCTCCTACCATACTGAAATCCAGCGACTGACTCGAGTTCTTACTCAGGTAACTGTCATTGAGTTATAATTTGATTGTACTTGACAATGAATTCTGTGTATTCTTAAAGTTGATAGCACATATTCTTTTTTATAAGAAATCCATTGCTGTTAAATTTCTTAAAAGATGTCATTTTATTTTTACCTTATTGAAAACCAGAATCCATTTTTTTGCAGTATTTTTTTTAATGGTTTTTAGTTTAAAGTTTTTGGTATAATTTCATATTTCATATAGTCTTTGATCTTTTTTTGTTCACAGTGGTGCATCTATTTGTAAGTTTTATTACTCTTACCTATGTGTATGTGTTTGTAATACATTATTATACACTCTTCTTATACTTTCTATTATTTTCTTACACATCATTTATAAAGGTTAAATCCTGTGTGTCCTGGTAGTAGTCTCCCATTTTTCACCACATTTGATTTATTTCTCCATACTTAACATACTGTGCTCTCACAATACCATCTTTATTGGGTCTTTCTTAAATTACTCCTTTTTCTTATTTTCACGTTGTATTTCTTCATGCACAACAGCTGAGTGTAATTTAAACATCCCACATAATTATATATAACTAGCATTCATAGTACCTTGTTCTATTTTTGAAAGCAGTAATAATTTAATGAGTTGATAAGGTTGGTACTGTAAAAAAAAAGATAAACTACAGCTTATCATTTTGTAAATCAAATTGATTTAGATATTGGCACTTCAATATCTTTTCTTGCATTGTAGTAAAAGGCTAAAATTTTCATGACCTTTAGTGCTGAACTGAATAAAATAAATCTCTAGTTGCCTTAGTCATTTCACTATTATCCCACAACTTGGGGAGGAAACTTTAGACACCATTTTGGTTCAACCTGGACCATTATCTAGTCACAACTAAAGCAGCAAGTCAGATGTAGAGGTGAAGAGAAAATCAGAAGACAGGTCATTTGAAAATATATCAAGATTTTTTTATTATTTTTTTTTATTATCACACCGGCCGATTCCCACCAAGGCAGGGTGGCCCGAAAAAGAAAAACTTTCACCATCATTCACTCCATCACTGTCTTGCCAGAAGGGTGCTTTACACTCCAGTTTTTAAACTGCAACATTAACACCCCTCCTTCAGAGTGCAGGCACTGTACTTCCCATCTCCAGGACTCAAGTCCGGCCTGCCGGTTTCCCTGAACCCCTTCATAAATGTTACTTTGCTCACACTCCAACAGCACGTCAAGTATTAAAAACCATTTGTCTCCATTCACTCCTATCAAACACGCTCACGCATACCTGCTGGAAGTCCAAGCCCCTCGCACACAAAACCTCCTTTACCCCCTCTCTCCAACCTTTCCTAGGCCGACCCCTACCCCGCCTTCCTTCCACTACAGACTGATACACTCTTGAAGTCATACTGTTTCGCTCCATTCTCTCTACATGTCCGAACCACCTCAGCAACCCTTCCTCAGCCCTCTGGACAACAGTTTTGGTAATCCCGCACCTCCTCCTAACTTCCAAACTACGAATTCTCTGCATTATATTCACACCACACATTGCCCTCAGACATGACATCTCCACTGCCTCCAGCCTTCTCCTCGCTGCAACATTCATCACCCATGCTTCACACCCATATAAGAGCGTTGGTAAAACTATACTCTCATACATTCCCCTCTTTGCCTCCAAGGACAAAGTTCTCTGTCTCCACAGACTCCTAAGTGCACCACTCACTCTTTTTCCCTCATCAATTCTATGATTCACCTCATCTTTCATAGACCCATCCGCTGACACATCCACTCCCAAATATCTGAATACATTCACCTCCTCCATACACTCTCCCTCCAATCTGATATTCAATCTTTCATCACCTAATCTTTTTGTTATCCTCATAACCTTACTCTTTCCTGTATTCACCTTTAATTTTCTTCTTTTGCACACCCTACCAAATTCATCCACCAATCTCTGCAACTTCTCTTCAGAATCTCCCAAGAGCACAGTGTCATCAGCAAAGAGCAGCTGTGACAACTCCCACTTTGTGTGTGATTCTTTATCTTTTAACTCCACGCCACTTGTCAAGACCCTCGCATTTACTTCTCTTACAACCCCATCTATAAATATATTAAACAACCACGGTGACATCACACATCCTTGTCTAAGGCCTACTTTTACTGGGAAATAATTTCCCTCTTTCCTACATACTCTAACTTGAGCCTCACTATCTTCGTAAAAACTCTTCACTGCTTTCAGTAACCTACCTCCTACACCATACACTTGCAACATCTGCCACATTGCCCCCCTATCCACCGTGTCATACGCCTTTTCCAAATCCATAAATGCCACAAAGACCTCTTTAGCCTTATCTAAATACTGTTCACTTATATGTTTCACTGTAAACACCTGGTCCACACACCCCCTACCTTTCCTAAAGCCTCCTTGTTCATCTGCTATCCTATTCTCCGTCTTACTCTTAATTCTTTCAATAATAACTCTACCATACACTTTACCAGGTATACTCAGCAGACTTATCCCCCTATAATTTTTGCACTCTCTTTTATCCCCTTTGCCTTTATACAAAGGAACTATGCATGCTCTCTGCCAATCCCTAGGTACCTTACTCTCTTCCATACATTTATTAAATAATTGCACCAACCACTCCAAAACTATATCCCCACCTGCTTTTAACATTTCTATCAATCCCGGCTGCCTTACCCCCTTTCATTTTACCTACTGCCTCACGAACTTCCCCCACACTCACAACTGGCTCTTCCTCACTCCTACAAGATGTTATTCCTCCTTGTCCTATACACGAAATCACAGCTTCCCTATCCTCATCAACATTTAACAATTCCTCAAAATATTCCCTCCATCTTCCCAATACCTCTAACTCTCCATTTAATAAAGGTGAAAGAATATCAAAAGACAGGTGAGGAGAAAGCCACTGTCATAAATAAACACTTCTTTTTTCAGACATCTCAACAATATAATGAGGACAAAGCTTCAATGTCATCACAGCTTAACAAAAGTGAGACAGCCCTGACTGAGACTCGAGCACAGCTTGAGAGGCTCCGGGAAGAACTTGGCTCTGTGAAGCAAGTTGAAAGTGAACTTCAGCAAAAGGTTGCAGAAGGATTTGTACAACAAGCTGAGGTACAGTACAATATTATATATAGGCTCTTACATTGGTTAAATTGTTACATTACATGTTAATAATTTCCATAGAAGTTAATAAGTTTCAGACTTTTGTTCAAAAGCTGGAGTATTTGTTCTAATAGATTTTTAGTGAAACCACTGAGTGGGTGGAGATGAACCCAGAACGAAAGAAGATGATGTGATTTAGCCTGCCATTTAAATTGTGATGTCTGCTCGCTTTTGGCAAGACAGTTATTGAATGAATGATGGTGAATGCATAGGTATTTCCATTTTGGGTCACCCTACCTTGGTGGGAGAAGGCCAATGTTGTAAAAAAAATATTATAAAAACAAATATTTTTAAAAGTAATTGAATAACTCTTTTTCAGCTTATTGGTTTGCATAAAGAAATAGAGTTATTACGAGCGAAGCTGGCAGCTGTGGAGCAAGAAAGAGATCAGCTTCGTATTGCAAATTCACGCTTCAATTCTCAATATCAAGACCAGAGCAAAGAGGTAGGATTAGATTTACAGAGAAGTACTTAACCAAGAGGTGGGAAGTTATTGTTCATAGGTGTCCATATTTTGTTTTAAAAAGTGCAGTTAGAATTGTTAGCATTGTACACTGTAGCTACATTTCTGAATATAATGTGCAATCTTAAAATTGTAAAAATCTATGATAATAATATAATTGTAGGTCAGTTTAATGATATGTTACAGTTAATACAATACTTATATCTACAATGGTTACATAAATATTTCCTACTTTACATTCTGGATGCTGGTGTATGTCAATGATTTTAAAAAGGAGTAGAGAGGAAGGATGTATCCCTACTGTGCTGGAGTGGATGGTTGTGGATCATGAAGCCTACCATATAGGCTAGACATTTCATCAATAAAGACACCCAGTTGTTGCACATATGTCTTACTTGTCAACTTTTGATGTAGATAATGGCATCTGCATTTTTAAATTTATGCTAAAAGTCTGGCACTTCAACTTGAAGTCAGCATCCATTACTGCAACAAATTTCTGCATTACTTTCTGTGTGTGGCTACACTTAAATGTCCTGATAATTCCATGAACCAGTGGTTGTATTAAGGATGTATTTGGTTGCAAAAACAACTTTTGCATGTGGATGCACATCCACCAAAAAATTCTGGATAAATATGAGAACTATCAATACTGAAGAGAAAACTTTCTTTCAGTGAAAAGATGTTTGATTTTTTGTGTGCCAAATACATATAATGCCAGCTGTAAGACCTTACAGAACTTTAGTAGAAAGAATTTCTGCTTAATTACTTAGAGGTAATTATGAGGAATAATGTATTGAACTAATTTTAACTACATTGAAAATACCAACAATCAGGGTTGCCATACCTTTATACCTCTGATATACCTTTGATAAGTTCCAAGAGTTTTTCTACTCTCAGAGCCTGGTCTTGAGCCAGGCTTGTTTTAAAGAGTTCCAATTTATTTTATCCAATCCTTTATATACTGCATTTCTTGTACAATATGTGTTATGAGGTAATCGGATATAATAATTTTATTGAAATGTATATTAAGATTCACTATCAGTATACAATTTGACAGATTATTTTTGTCCTTAGCTGAATACTATCCGAGAGAGGGAGAGCCGGCTTGCAACAGAGTGCGAACGTTTGCGGCAGCACCTGGTAGCAGTGGAGGAGTCATACACTGCTGAAGCCTTGAAAGCTGAGGAACGAGAGGCCATGCTGCGCTCCACACTCACAAAGATGGAAGAAAAACTCAATAATCACTCAAATTTCTTTAGCACTGCCAAGTAAGATATTTTAATTTTTTTTTTTTAACACCAAGCTTTTCCTACCAAGGCAGGGTGACCAAAGATGAAACACATTCCCCATCACTCACTCTCTAGCTATCTTTCTGGAAATATGCAAGCCTCAAAAGTTTTTAGATACTATAATAGATTGACTCGGTACCTAAGATTACCATTACTTGAGTTTCTTATGTGCGAATTTAAAGAAAATTTATACATCGTATTGTTAGTAAGATCTTAACTATGAGATCAAGTTATTTGTTTTATGTCAGCCAGGATTTATTGCTTGAATTTTAATATGAGATTACAGCCTTCTTGTCCTTCTATTTTTGCAGCCAGCGAGCAAGTGTTCAGGTCGAGACTTTGCAATCACAGCTTCGTGATCTGACGGCCAAGAGAGATGATGCTGTTCTTCGTTTACAAACAGCTGAAGAAATTGCAGAGCAACACCAGCAATCTTTAGCTACACTGCAGCAGGTTTGACACACATTATTGTTGATTAGGTGTGATAATCTAATAATGAATATTTACAATTATTATTTATTTTGCAAATGTGGTACTGTATATAGATATGAGGATAAATGTGTATTTTAGCATATCAGAGTATTAGTTGCATAACCATTAGTTACATACTGAAAGTGAAAAAAAAGATGGTGCATGTAAGGATATTTAATGAGGAAGATGGTGATACATATTACTTTGTCAAAGCTTGTGCCATTAAGGTTGGATGCCATTATATATCTATTTCATGATTTATTTTTTTTTTTTGTGTGAAAATTTAGATTTTTGTTGGTCATATGAGTTTGAAGCAGAATCTAGCTAAAGATTCATTAGCACATTCATTAGCCACTTATCTTTACTGTTGTTTTTCTAATTCAGTAAGAGGCCTAGCATGAGACTGAGCTTCAGGGGCATTTCCAGATATATCAGTAAAGTTGTATTGGAGGTTGGTTGTTGAATTAGGGTTGTTAAAGAAAAGTGGGTGGCTTGTGAAAAAGCAATGGTATGAGATGCTGACAGATATAGACACACAAATGCAGATATACAGGATCCTTTAATGATGACATTTTTCCCACACAGTGGACTTGATCAAGTCACTAATTTGTTAAAGCCCACTGTGTGAATGAAATGTTGCCAATGAAGAATTATATACAATTCGATTTGTCTGTTGAATTTTGATTATGCATAGTTTAGGTGTTTGATGACCAGCAACGTGTTGATATGTTAGGTCAGAGTGAGAGTGACAAGTGTTTGGTTTTGATGATCTGTGGACCATGAGCTAGATAAGTTACTGAAGGATTAGGGAATTGTTCACTGGACTTTAATGTGAATGTCTTTGCTCTCCTCGGAAGATGGATGAGGATGTGCTGTTCAAGGTTATTTGAGTTATGATGCACACATTTCTGTAGAAAGCTGTTTGACTCAGAAATCGTAATGACAACGTTGCAAATAAACTTACCCCGGCGGGATTGAACCGCGGTCATAGAGTCTCAAAACCAGCCCGTCGCGTTAGCCACTAGACCAGCTAGCCACAATAAGATTCATCCAACTAGGTATATTTCTACACCATAGGAAAGTTAGCACAGGACCTCTGTGACCACAAATGCAAGTTTTTACAGACAATCTCCACTAGCGTGGCCGTGACGAACTCTAGCTCAAGCCCTTCACTGCGTAACATGACTCAGAAATCGTAATGACACGATTAAATAAACCATACCCGGCCGGGTGGATGAATCTTATTAGTGGCTAGCTGGTTAGTGCAAGTAGGGCTGGAGTTTTGAGACTCTATGACCGCGGGTCAATCCTCCGTGGTATGGTTTATTTGCAATCGTGTCATTACGATTTCTTGAGTCATGTTGACGGCAGTGAAGGGACTTGAGCTAGAGTTCGTCACGGCCACGCTAGCTGGAGATTCGTCTGTAAAAACTTGCATTTGTGGTCACAGAGGTGCCTGTGCTAACTTTCCTATGGTGTAGAAATTACCAGTGGATGAACTTATTGTGGCTAGTGTTAGGCAACGGACGGGTGGAGTTTTGAGACTCTATGACCGCGGGTTCAATCCCGGCCGGGGGTATGGTTTAAGAAAGCTGTTGAATGAGTGATGGTGAAAATGTGTCCTCTTTTGGGCTATCCTACCCTGATAAGAAATGGCTGATGTGAAAAATTTAAAAAAAGAGTTGTACTACTTTTTCAGGTGTTGCAAGATTTCCAAAAGAATCAGGTGCGTGAAATAGCGGAGGCCACAGAGAGAACAAGGCGGCAGCTGGAAGAGGAAAAGGAAAAAAACTCCTCACTCACAGTGCAGATAAATAATTTAAAGGTAATAATTAATAAATAAAGGCATTGGGTAGGTGGCGGGAATATTTTGAGGAACTTTTAAATATTGATGAAGAAAGGGAGGCGGTAATTTCATGCACCCTAATTTCAACTACCCTATGTCACCAACAATCATTCTGTGGTCAAAACCACTTTGATCACATTTCTTCCCCATTATGATGTTTGATCTGAACAACAACTGAACCTCTTGACCATGTCTGCATGCTTTTAGGCACTGAGGTGCTGCCATACGATTGATTGATCAAACATTTTCATTAATGAGCAGGTGTATGTAATAAAGTGACTACTGAGTGTATATACAAGTATGTACTAAGATGCTCATTCATTTTACACATAAGTGTGTTGAAAAAACACACTTGAGGTCCTTGTTTTTTACCATATAAATACTGATATATTTTGATACTATTGTGGATATGACTACATATTTAAAATTGGGAAATTATTTACACTTTACATACATTAGCTAAAATGATAATTTTCCAAATCTCCAATAATAACTTTAATATCCTCCTGATAAATCTTAATAAATGTTTTTTAATAATAATGAGTATTCTTGTTAATTACTTTCACTTGGAGACATTTTATTAAGTGCAAGAATAATATGAAAACTGGTAGTAATGGTAAACATCACACAGTAATGTAGTGCTTAATATTTATGTAATGTTTAATTACTTCAGAGTCAGCTAACAGAGGTTGAGAGCGCCTTGGCAGCAGCATCAAGACTCGGAGAACAGCTGATGAAGAAGGAACAGATGATCACTGCTCTCAAGGCACAAGGTAAGTTTATGTTGGTTGCTTCTCATTTCATAAATTCCTAAATTACTGTATGTTATTCAGAATGTTTTGTTTTTTACACCTTATTTAGTTCACTAGTAATGAATAGAATAATTGTTTAGATCTTGTTAATTTTTATTATTCCAGTTAGCATATTGTAGACACCGTGAAGCTTTACGGTACTGTATTTTTTAGTGATACAGTCACACCTCATGCATCTGTAAGCCTCATAGTTGGAAAGTATAGTTTCATGAAAGGTTTCATTAGGTCCTTCCCATCTCCAGTTAACCATAAATTATTCTTTTATCTTGGTGGATGTATTTCATGGTTTGCAGTGGAATAATTACTCAATAATTAGGCTAAATGAAAGCCCTTGGTGTCAGTGATTCTTGATGAATGAGGGTTGACTGTATGTATATAGGCAAATATTTACCTGTCAACCACCAGCTCTATAATTTCCTTGGGGTGGACAGGAAACCCATGGCTTCGCAGGGTTTTCCCAGTTTGCCTGTTAGTCCTTCCACGTGAAATTTAAACTGTAGTAGTCTTGAGTAGAGTGTTCCATATGTTTGTTACTCTGTGGGAGAAGAAGCATTTCCCAGTCTTATTCTGCATTAATGGTATGAGGTACAGTAAGACCATTATTAATTTCAGGTTTTATAATAATACTATTATCCTTCTTATATCAATACTGTGTTCAGTATATTGACCCAAGTAGTATTAATTATTTGACTTTATTTTTATAAAATTTTGTACGTATTTACTTTTTTTTGCTGTTGCATGTACTGTATATTCTTTCTTTAGATATGTAAGTTGTAATAGCCCCATCATGTATTTGGGAACTCAGGTTAATGTGCACTGATTAGCTAAGATATGAAGCATGATAATTGGTTGCTTCACGTTGACTATAGGGTGGGGCTTCCTGGTGGGGCATGGGCACGCACTGATTGGTTGCTTCTCAATGGTGGTTGGTCCGCTGACTGCAAGGAAACCTGGGGGGGAGAAGGGAAAGCGCAGACCGACTAAATATCAGCTGGTAAATTTGGGTTTTGCGCAGTCTGTGCCTCAAATTTTCAACTGGTATTATGTTGAGCTGCTGTGATCCTCTGCTGGTGAGACGCCTTCTGGTACCTCATGTCCTCCTCCCCTTTGATCACTCGCACAACCCAGCACCCTCACGTCCTCCCTCTGCTCAGCCTTTCATCTACATTCTGCGATCTTTTTTTATTTTGTTTTATCACCCACTATGATGGTTGCACGCTTGCTTGTTTTTATGATTTTGTTTTATGCAGTTTATTAATACAGTATTTTGTTACTGATTATTATTGTATAGTGCTTAGTGTATTGCATTTTACATATACATATCATGTTTTTACATATATTATTCTTTAGGTTGCTTTTGTAACATTTGTAGCTTTGTATATTTGGTGAGTGCAGTGATGCTTTTTATGCTTTCATTAAGCTCCATTAATCATTCTCTAGAGGTGCCTCACCTATGGGAAAGTTACCACAAGTACATAGTTGAGGTTTGGCTATGTGCATACATGTAATAATCAGTATGAGACTGGAGGTAATGAAAAATTGAATACATTTGCTTGTTACTAACAAATAACATAAATTTTTATATAATACAGTTGTAAACTTAAGATTGTTTTAATACTGGCAAAAATGGCCTCCTGAATTGGTAAAATCATTTGTGGATTACTGAGCTGCATGAGACTGGCATTTGTTGCTTAGTAAAAATTAATATCGTAATTCCTTGTACAGTGCATTATTTGCATTCTTGAAAAATTATCATGTATTAAAAGACCATATTACGAAAGCTCCAAAATGCTGTATATAGTATGGAGAAAAATAGAATGATTAGGAGGATATATAAATGTGGGGTGGAGGGAAGGAAGGTAGGGGTCATGCTAGGAAAGGTTGGAGGGAGGGGGTAAAGGAAATTTTTGAATGCCAGGGGCTTGGACATCCACTAGGCTTTTGAGTGTGTGTTTAATAAGATTGACTGGAGGAGAATGGTTTTTATGATTTGATATGCTTTTGGAGTGAGCAAGGTAACATTTATGAAAGGATTCAGGGAAACTAGTTAGCCAGACTTGAGTCCTAGATGTCAGAAGTGCAGTACCTGCACTCTGAATGAGTGGGAATGTTGCACTTTGGAATATAACATTCCAAACTACAACGGCATGACAGTGATTGAGTGGCAGAGAAAGTTGTTTTCTTCTTTGTGTCGGTTTACCCTACCCCAGTGGGAAATGGCAGGTGTTACAACTAAGATAAAAACTAAAATGAAGGGTTATGTTTTAACAAATCTTAAGGTTAACCCCCCTCAAAAGAAACTAACAATGTGCAGCTCTTTAATAGTACAGTACAGGATTGTTGTATTGGACAATGGCTTGGTTGGGCTTGTAATGGATATGACTAATACCTATGAGAGACATGACACAATTAAAATGTCATTTTCTTGTGTTTACCAAATTCTCTGACTTACTAAGCTGTACACACTTGTACTAATCATCTTGAAGTACTGATCATTTTTTAAACAAATCATAGCTTTAATACAGTTCACTTGATGTTTTTTAACTATTGCATGTAATACAGATATTTATGTTTGGCTACCATAACTTGCTGTAGATGTTATTACTGCATTGTAATGGCAACCATTATATTGGTATTGTGTGTCCCATTAATCTAACAACACAAAGATACATTAATGAAGTAAAGACACAGGTGAAGAGCAAGATTTTATTGTGACAATGTTTTGTTCCCTGTAGAGCGTAAAGTCAGTGATTGACTTGATGAAGCTCTACAAAGAGTGAAATGATTGTCATAATAACAGCTCATTTTACACCCATCTTTTGTTTCATCTTTCAGCAGTATTGTCTTTATATTCACAAATGGCCCTTTTTTTTTTTTAAATAAAAGTGCATATGTTAAAAATGCAAACTATATTTTATAGTTCCCAAACATAAATGTAACAATTCTAAATGTTTTGTTATTGATAAAGTTATGTTTGATAGACTAAGGTAGTGTGTGAGAGTATGCTCTAACTAGTTAACTTATGTACTGAATGCTAGTCCAAGTTATTATTCTCCAGAGCTTCTAACTAGCCCTAAACTTTCAAACTACAAGTTTTAATGAAAATGTTAATTATAGTATGGTGCCGTATAGTACAGTATGGTGCAGTATAGTACAGTATGGTGCAGTATAGTACGGTATGTTACAGTACAATATAGTACCTTATGGTGCAGTACAATATAGTACAGTATGGTGCAGTACAGTATAGTACAGTATGATGCAGTACAATATAGTACAGTATGGTATAGTATAGTGCAATACAGTACAGTATGGTACGATACAGTATAGTGCAATATAGTACAGTATGGTATGCTACAGTATAGTATAGTATGGTATGATAAAGTATAGTACAGTACGGTACGGTACAGTACAGGCAAACCCCGCTTATTGCTCCATTTGCTGTTTTACCTCGATGAACATTTTGTTCTGCCCCTCCCTCCCCTTTCCCAGAAAAAAATAGAGGTATTTGTGCTCAATTTTTAGGCTTTTGGCTAATACTTTGGGTGCTAACATGTCATCTTGCACACACTTCTCCAACATTTGCTGGAGATATTTGATGGTGAGTGTGATATGAATATTTTTCTCCCCTACCAATTTTTTCCTTAAGTTTTATATTCCATTTGAACACTGTTCACAATGCTCTTAGATCTTGAAGTCAACCATTAATGTTCAGCAGAATTTGCCTGTACTTGTACTCTGCAAAAGTTTTTTTTTCTTGTTTGAGGTAATTTGATTATATGTACTTTTTTGCATGTTAAATAACAAAAAAATGTGCTTTAATCCTTGTGCTGTTTTATTTGCAGTAATTGGGTTTAAAAGTTGTATATACTATTAACTATAAAGTGACTTTTAATTGCACCTAATTTTGAAAACAGCACATGCTTAATACAACTGTTACTGAGCATAGTTTTATAACTTGGGCTTAACATTCTAATATTATTTTCCTTTTACTTAACATCACTCTTAACTGGTGAGCACCACTTGCTGCACGCACTGGGTCTTGTTGGTGTAATCTCACACGGTAACGCTGAGGTGCTTGCTGATCTCAGACTGCTTGGTGAGATCTCACAAACAGGCTTGCACACAACCCACAGTACTGCTAACGCCACCTCGACCTTCGATCACTTTAAACAGTTCTAAGTGCACATTTTAGTTTTACCATGTCATTGCATGCCATTACTTTGTCCTTCAAATTGTGGGTACATGGCCACTCCATTGTTGCATCCAGATTTAGTGATACAGTGCCTAAAATCAAACATATTTCTCTCATAATAATTGTTATTGCATCTCTAAGAGTTATATATGAAATGGTTTTAATTATAGGCAAAAATTTTTAAGGGGTGGAGGGGTAAGCCAGTGGAAGGCCTCGGTCAGATGACCAGAAGCTCCAACTGCAGGTCATCATATGTCTAAGACCCTCATAAGGAAACACTTGCCCTGTTTCTTGACAAACCTTACCTAACCTAACCTCATAGAATTCAGGTAACTTTTGACATTAATTGGAATAACAATTAATGTGGAGATATGTTGCAGTTTTTTTTAACTGTAGTATCAGCACACCTCTGGCAAGATAGTGATGGAGTGAGTGATGATGAAAGTCTTTCTTCTCTTTTGGGTCACCCTGTCTCGATGGGAGATGCCCAGTGTGTTGGAAGAAAAAAAAAATGTTTTATCTAAACAGCATACAGCATGTGATTAACTCGTTAAATGATAATCTTTTAAATTGACTTCCCTATTTATATTGAGCATTATTTTGTTATTTTTGCTCTTATCTTCAGATTTTATATGAGAAATAGAATAACTCTAGTGGATAGTAAGGGATATAAAAGAAAAGCATTTTGCCATCAATAATTAACATATCATTCATTGCATCACTGTCTTACCAGAGCCATGCCGATACTAGAGTTCAAAAAGTGCAACAT